ATGTGTATAAGAGACAGGTCTTATACATTGTTTGAGTAAATTACATGTGTCGTAGCCAAAATACCTTCTTATATATTCAAAAAACGGAAGGTTAAAGAAACGCATGTTTTACGCCCGCGTACACAAATAAATTAGATACACGATTTAGGCTCAATAAATTAGATTAAACCAGTGAAAATTATTTGATTTTCTAAATATTTGTCACAAATATTTATTTAAATTAATTCGTTACAAATATAAAATTTCCCTGCCGGGAATTTCCTTAAAGCGAATATTTTATTAAATAAATTGAATTTAATAGAAGAGTCCTTTAAAAAAATAAAGTAGGTTAACAATTTCAAAAAATGATTTTTCTGCATTTTCTTAAAATATTATTATCTAAAGTGTATATAAATCAAATTTTATTTAAATAAAATCGTAAATAAAAATTAACAAAGTTATGGAATTTTAAATATTGCGGAATTTTTACTGACTAATATGGCTCGTACCGTTAAATACTAAAGTATTAAAATAATGTTTCAAAATAAAAGCGTCTTTGTTTCCTTCTGATTGTGAGAAGGAGGATAAAGTGCGATAATTGTAATTCTTAGATGGATCAGGAATAGATGAATAAAAATAAGAACCGATTGTTTAATTGTTTTTCGAATTAAAACGTTTATGTATCTTTCTTAAAACAGTGTTTCACACAAGCACAACATCGATGGTCATAATATCTCAAAAACTGTTCAATCGATTTGGCTTTTACAATATTTTTTTTACTGCTTAATCTTATCCTCCTTCTATATATCTTCCCTTTCGACCTTCTATCTTATCCTTCAATGGATTTTTTAATAAACAGTTTTTTATTAGCAAAAATAATTTTAAATTTTAGGCAAAAATCGTTTTTTACTTCAACTGCTATTTTATAAAAAATACACAAATAAAAAAACCCTACGTAGAGAATAAGATTTAAATTTCCTTTTTAAGGTTCGTAAAGCATTTTTGTTTTCAGAACATCCTGTGAAATGCTGTAATGACCATCCCCGTAATGATCCATAAAATATGTTTTTATAAACATAATCTGTATTAATAACTGCTGCAACCATTATTCATAAATTTAAAAAAATTAAGTTAAAAAAATTTTTTATAAAGTTTATTATAAATTATATTTATAAATATACTCGTAATTAAAAAAAAATTATAAAAAAATTGTTAAATATAAATAAAAGTAGGTTCATTATATTTAATAAAGAAAATCTCCTTTTATATATATTTGATTCATTACTTTTTTCTTAAAAAAAGTTATTTTTATACAAACTACAATCTTCCCTTTGAAGAACAGATATGAGTGTTCAAACTTTCTTGTCAGCATTATTATTATTGAAGATACATCATGTAAAGGTTGGATTTACACCTTATGTATGTATGTACGTGCGTATGGGGATGCACATGTAATAAATATTTGTAATTTCTTAGATAAAATATATCTTAGTCAATGGATTGATAAAAAAGATATGACTGGTAAATGAATTATAATTACTTACTTAGAAAGTTTCATAAAAATATTATATTTTAATATATTTAAAATCATTGTCCTTTTTAGAAAACATTCACGCTTTTTACCATACGTCCTATGTATGTTATTTTCTTAATAATAATTATAATTATAACCAATATTTATTTAAAATTTTAAAAATATTAAAAAATTGTTA